TCTATGCAGTCACAAAGAAGCAAAAATGATTTTCAGAACCTGGAATGTATGAACCTTAATGGACTATGCAAATAGTGATTGCCCCAAGTGAAGGACAGCAATCGTCTCTAGTAAACTGAGGAAGTTCAGCATTGATATTGCTGCCCTATCTGAAACTTGATGTGCTGGAGAAGGACATCTGAAAGAAGCAGGTGGAGGGTACACCTTTTTCTGGAGAGGGAGAACAGAAGATTCAGGGGCACATGGAGTTGGTTTTGCCATCAGAAATGAACTTGTGAACTGACTCTCAGAACTCCCAATTGACATTCATGGACACCTCATAACTCTCCATCTAAAACTCGCTAAAAACCAACAGCGACAATTGTGAGAGCATATGCCCCAACTCTCAATGCCAATGAGATCATGAAGGAGAACTTCTGCTCAGAACTTGACACCATCCTCTCAAATATCCCAACGGAAGATAAGATCATCCTTGGAGATTTTAGTGTCAGAGTGGGAAGAGACTCAAAACTTTGGAATTGTACTATTGGAAAAGAAGGTAGTGGGAATTCAAATTCTAGTAGGGTCCTTCTCCTGATGAAATGCACAAAACATGGACTTGTCATCACAAATACCCTGTTCCATCAAAGGAACAAGTTCAAGATGTCCTGGAAACACCCTAGATCGAAACACTGGCATTTGATTGACTACATAATTGTTTGGGCTCGCGATTGCCAGGATGTCCTGATTTACAAGAGCCATGACTAGCGCTGATGACTGTTGGACTGACCACCGCCTCATCTGTTCCTGCATGTCCATTAGGATTGCTCCTAAATAAAGAATGCAAAGGAAGCGGATGAGGCACAAGTTAAACATTGAGTACATGAAGGACCCATTCAAGCAGAAAGAATTCCAGCAACTCCTGAATGAGACGCTATCAACAGAGCACCCAGAAGGAGTTGAGGAGCACTGGGCAGGACTCAAGATAGCGGTTCTCTCACCCTGTGAAAATATCATATGATACAAGACCAGAAAGCATCAAGACTGGTTTGACAAAAATGAAACTGAAGTTCAAGGTCTCATCAACAGGAAATGAGAAGCTTTCTGTGCCTAGCAGAATGACATCAGTTCTGCCATCAAGAAAAATGCACACCAACAAGCAAAAGCAGAGGTGCAGAGGAGAATACAAGAACTGAAGCGTGAGTGGTGGATTCAGAAATCAAAAGAAATCAAACATTTTGCTGTCATCCGTGACACTCGTGGCTTCTTCAATGCTACCAAAGCTGCCTCTGGCCCTGGCACTCAAGGCCTTAATCCTCTAAAATCAAAGGATGGAACAACATTCCTAAAAGACAGTGAATCCATCAATGCTCTCTGAAAAGAACATTTCTAGGACCTTCTGAATCATGATTCAACTGTCAATCAAGATAAGATCAACAACTTTCTGCAAAAAGCAATTAGAGAAGACCTCAGTTTGCCACCTACCCTGGTACAGGTCGGGAGTGGAAAATGAAGAATAACAAAGCAACTGGTGTTAACGGAATACCCATGGAGGTTTTCAAAGGAGGAGCTTACGTGGCAGCTTCATGTCCTCATCCTTAAAATCTGGAACAAGGATAGAAATCCCAGCTGACTTAAGGGATGTCATGATTGTTACTATCTTCAAGAAGGGGGACAGAGCTGATTGCAGAAACTACTGAGGCATCTCATTGGCCACTGCTGGGAAAGTCATTGCCTGTATCCTCGCTAACCACCTTCTCCCAAATGCGGAAATCCTTCCAGAATCTCAAAATAGCTTCAGACCATCTCGAGGAACTGTGGACATGATCTTTACAGCATTTCAAATCTAGAAGTGTCATGAGCAAAATGGATCTGTCTGTTTGGTCTTCATTGACCTCTCTAAAGCCTTCAATTCTGTAAACCATGAAGCCCTATGGAAAATCTTGTCCAAAATTGACTACCCAAACAAGTTCATCAGTGTTCTGAGCCTTCTCCACAACAACATGTCAGCCAGGGTTCTCAGTAACAGGAGTCAAATAGAGCCATTTGAGGTGAAAACTGGAGTGAAGTAAGGTTGCATCATCCCTCCAACTTGGTTTTCCATCTTCATCTCCACCATAATGCACCTTGTTTACAGAAAGCTCCCACCTGAAATTGAAATTGTGTATAGGATGGACTGAAGAATCTTCAACCTCAAACAGACTTGAATCCAAAATGAAGATCACGACAACATCCATAATGGAGCTCCAGTATGCGGATGACAATACTGTCTTTGCTCAATGTGAATAGGACCTCCAAACCATTTGTAATGTATTCTCGGAAGTCTACGAGCGTCTTGGCCTAACTCTAAACATCAAGAAAACGCAAGTCCTTTACCAACCTGCTTCAAATGGAGAAACAAACCCCGCCTCCATTCAAATCAATGGAGAATTGCTGGAGAATGTGGATCACTTCACCTATCTTGGAAGCCATCTTTCAGCAAAGGCAGACATTGACCCAGAAGTACAACACCACTTGAAATGTGCAAGCGCAGCCTTTGGACGTCTGAGTAAGAGAGTCTTCTTAAATCATGACATCCTTGCTGAAATGAAACTCGTGGTTTATCAAGCCATTGTCATTCCAACTCTGCTGTATGGGTTGGAAACTTGGACTACATACAGAAGACATCTCAAGAGCTTGGAAAAGTACCACCAATGGTGCCTTCACAAGGTCCTTTGGATTAGCTGGAAAGATAGATGCACAAACATCAGCATCTTGGCTGAAGCAAATTCCAACAGCACTGAGGCCATGGTCATCCAAAACTAACTTCGTTGGACAGATCATGTTGTTTTTATGCCTGACTCCTGCCTTCCAAAGAGAATCTTTTTCTCACAGCTGAAAGAAGGTCAGCAAAGTAGAGGAGGGCAAAAAAAGCACTTCAAAGACACCCTGAAGGCAAACATTAAGAGGTGTAACATTGACATCAACACTTGGGAGACCCTAGCTCAGGACCGACCAAAATAGAAGAAGACTTTTTGGGAAGGATGTCAACACTTTGAAACAGGTTGTTGACAGGTAGAAGAGGAAAAGAGGAACAGGTGAAAAATACATCAGAACATCCAACGTGGCAACACGGTGCCCATCCCTCCTGAAAACATCTGTCCTCACTGCAACAAGACATGTGGATCTAGAATTGGGCTATGGAGCCACCTGAGGACTCACTATTAAGATCCTTGGAAGACTTTCTTACTTCTTCACGAATGATCACCCATCATCATCAGCTGAGCTCGAGAGTACGCTAAGCAGGACCTCTCCCCCAACTCTTCTGCCACGTCTTAATGTTATCAAAATCTTTAAGGAAGGGTTCAGTGGTGTAACAATGTGTCCCCACTAGGGGTACTTGCAGTCTGAATGCGGCTGACCTTGGGGCTCTGCCTCCCCTACATCCTGTCCACATGCTAACTGATGGTGTCAATACATTATGATCTCTTGCAGTACCTTCGGCTTTTCAGATCCACTCTGCTGCCTTTATGGCCACTCATCTTGCCGCCACTCCCTGGGTACTATGCTTGGAGCTGGTCCTGGCTAAAGAGACCCCCAGGACACTGGCCCTCCATTATGGAGGGACTAGCTATAAATTGCTTAGATGACCCCTTTTGACTTTTCTATTCTATATCTTTCTCTCCTTGAGTGGGTTGAGCCCTTGAGCGGGGCTGAGCCTGAATCCCCATGCCAGTCTGCTGGGGCTTTCCTGCTCTTCTCCCATAGGCCCCTGCCACTTGAGTGCCCCACTGTCTCAGCATCTTGAGGCACCCTCTGCCCCAGCCTCTTGCCTAGTGGCAGCTGCCTGCCCCCTCTCTTCGGCATTGCTAGTGCCTTTTAAATTTTCCCTGGTGGTGCCGGTGGCTGACATCATTGGCCATGCACTGCCTAGTGTGATTGACAGCGTACCCAAAAATTGGCACAGCAGTGACATGATTTGCCTTGGTCCCAGCTCTCCCTGCCTTCCAGGTAAGTATTCCCTCTCTCCCTGGACTTTCTGCCCAGTCCCCTCAGGGTTGGGCAAGGTTACCAGGATTCCTGCCCATTGTGCACAGTCTCCACCATCACAAAAACTAAACAAATAGATGAACAGTAGAGGAAAGGAATACAGCCTACATGTACAGGTTAGATTCTGACTACCCTTCACTTGAGTGTGCACTTTTGAAGAAAGGTGGTAAGGAACTGCCTATGATTTTGTGCAGCCTAAAACTGGCCAGACAGAACCATAAACCTTGTGCTCAGAGGAATTTAGAGATTGTTGCATCATTACTCCTTCTTATGGCACCAGATGCTCAGTGAGGTAATGGCAGGGGGGGGCGGGGGGGGAAGAGTGGGGGCGGCTGGAGAGATACTGGAAAAGCTACTCATGTATTAATTTGTACTGATAGGAAGAAAGAGATGGCCTCATAGAGGGTTTACAGATGGCACCCATAAGGAGGTGTGTAGAATTTTTTGTACTTAGGGAGCCCCAGGAGGCACACTGTAATTCTCAGATTTTTCTTTGTTGCTTCCCTGGCTTCAGTAGGGCCTCATAATGTGCCCAAAGGGCACAATTTAGTCCACAGTAATTGGGGATTATTTGTTTTCCTTGTTAAATGTGCTGAATTATTTCTCTTCAGTGAAAGAGCCCTCCCATTCTCTTTCTTTCACTAGTTCCCACCTTCATTTTTATAGCCTTATGCCATTTTCATTTTCAAGAATACACATTCCTGATTTCAGTCTGATAAGGCCCCATGAGGTTTGTTTGCTAAATATTTTCCTGCTCATGTTTCAGATGGAGCATCCTACAATAACAGCATAAATTACAAGCATGCTCTGATATTGTTTTATCTATAGTAAAATAGGTCAACTGCAGTATATACAGAATAATGATTTTGCTGTAGATCAATTACTTTATCATTTCTTCATTGTATTTTGTCTGTCTGTCTCTCTCCCCCTTTCCTCCCTCCCATCCCTTCAACTCTATTTGTCTGTCTATAAACATACACTTTTTTTTCCAGGCTAAATTCCATTGACGTGAAGTATCAGATGTGGAAATTGGGAGTTGTTTTCACTGACAATGTAAGTTACTTTCAGTATTTGAACTATAAAGCAGCAAGCAGTCTTCTAATCATGAAGAGTTTGTAAAAAATGAATGAGAGTTTATGACTTTTTATACTATTGGTAACCTGCAATTTACTACTCTAAGTCTGACTACCCTATTTTAATTTTTATCTGTGAATTCTTTTAAATTACATAGAAACTATTATAGAAGCTCTCTTTACTTCAATTAATTTCAATTCATTCTTTTGGGGTCATTCTCTGGGTTGCTTTGTTGTGCCCTTCAGCTGTGCACAGAAAATTTCAACAATCAGTTTTGGGAAAACAAGAAAAGAATATATGTACTGCAATACATTGGTGTTTATATTAACTTGAATCATGTTTAAAGTAACATTCCTATATTTGAAGCTTGGAACAATTGAAAATGAGCATAGCTGATGTAAAGCTGATTTTATTGCACATGAGCATAGATGATCATATTTGTTATACCAATGTAACTGGAAGTAGGATTTGGCACAGGATGGAGTTTTTGCTTGATTTCAGACTAACATGGACATGCACAAGTGGGGACCCGATCTATGATCATGCTACTTAAAATTAAGCTGTGTGATTGTAGATTGGGTCCCAGGAACATCTGCATATAACCTAAATCAGAGACGTATAGCATAAGGTTTTGTGAGCTTGGGCTCATGAAAGCTTATGCTATCTATTTCTAATTTAGTTTGTCTGTATGCTGCAAAACTACCATGCGTTTTGCTTGATTTCAGACTACCCCTCAGTTGTTAGAAACCCAGTATGCTTTCTTTAAAAACAGAGATGCAAACATAAGAGCTGAGAAGGAAATACTTTTCCAAACCTTTGAAAAATCTGAAAATATCAAAAAGTTCCAGTTCTGAATCACATCAAAGGGCACACAATATCAATGTTTTGTGATTTTTTTAGTGTATAGCTCACTACTCAACTGTTATATTTCAAGCCAACAATCTCAAAATGTTTTATTTAATATTTTAAATAAGTTTGTTTAAATGTTGAAAAGAAGGGTTTCAGTAGTTTAAAAACTAATTTTATATGTTTTAAATGAAAAAAAAAAAACATTAAAATGAATCTTTTCCTGTCGACCATTTCATCTTTGTTGAAACATTATTATTTCATCCATATTCTAACAAAAATGTCCTTTCATTAATGCCCAACAAGCTTTTAGCAAACATAACTGTATTACACAGCTGTAAACCCAATAGAGTGGCATTAAAATATCTTTCTTTGGCTTTGTAAGAAAACAAAGGCTGGACATAAAGACTATGGATTTCATTTCCCATTTAGATAATGTAATTCTCTTTGCTTATTTTCCTCTAGTCTTTCCTTTATCTAGCCTGGTACATGACCATGTCAGTCCTAGGCCATTACAACAATTTTTTCTTTGCTGCTCATCTCCTTGATATTGCAATGGGATTCAAGACACTACGAACTATCCTTTCATCAGTGACCCACAATGGCAAACAGGTATCAAGCTTCATCTCTTTCTTTCTTTCTTTTTTGTTTGTTAAAGGAGTGCATAGCTAGTTTCCACCAATGCTTGAATTCAGACTGACTAGTAAAATCAGTTGTCTATATGTGACAGTAGATATATACTCTAATTATGAAGTTAGACTTATGTCAGTAGAGGAACTGGTCTCTAGGATATGAAATCATAGTCATTATCATGACTTCCTGGTCATTGATTTCAGTCTTCTGCTGTTTCAGGCAACCATGCCAGATAATCCTGTTAATAAAATAATCAGGATCCATCTTAAAAGTAATTAGCTTTTTACCATGTCCCCTCTCCCCTGCTCTGAATGGCAGGTTGTTTCAGAACTGTACTTCCCTACTGGTAAGAAACTTGACTTCCAGTCTATTAATATTGGAGTTGTTTCAGATAGATACTGGAGAAAGACAGAAAGTAGGGCAGGGTGGCACCTTAAAGATTAACTGGTTCAGAGAGGCATGAGTTTTCACTGGCAATCACCTACTTAGATGCAACAAGTCCAAAGTATGTGGTGGGAAGGCCCAAGTACTTCTTCAGAAACATTGAAAAGAGATTAATCAGATATTTTATCTAGAGGTTTCATCTACATGTTCATTAATGCGCTTTGGGTAATGCACATTAAATTTAGTACCTCCATTGTGAGGTACTAGAAAAAGGCGCATTAGCCACATTAGCCTATTTTAATGCACATTAGTGAAAGCACACTTTTTTGTGACACTAATACACATTAAAATAGGCTAATGTGTATTAAAGTGCATGTGTAGATGTGTTTAGAAAAAGGGATTATCAAACTGTTCTCCATGGAGCTGAGACCTGACCTAAAGTTTTTGAGAGTGAAGTAAGGTAGTTTCAAGGATGTTGAATGCACCTGGGGAGAAGGAATCCACAGCATACATACAAGCTGAGGAACTCCCCCTTTGTGAGCACAGAGGCGGAAAGGGATCCTGGAGTCATTATTGACTCCAAGATGAACATGAGCTGCCAATGCCAGACCGCAGCCAGCAAAGCCAATTACACCTTGTCATGCATCCAAAGATACGTCTCAAGCCGGTCCAGAGAGGTGATATTCCCCCTCTACACGACATTGGTCCAGCCTCAACTGGAGTACTGTGTCCAGTTCTGGGCACCGCACTTTAAGAGGATGTGGCCTGCCTTGAGAGGGTTCAGAGGAGGGCCACCCACTTGGTTGGAGGGCAAAAAGGCAGGCCCTATGAGGAGAGGCTGAGGGACCTGAACCTGTTCAGCCTCAGCAAGTGGAGGCTGAGGGGGGATTTGGTGGCTGCCTGCAAACTCATTAGGGGAGATCAGTAGCAAATAGGAAGAGCCCTATTCTCCCAAGCAGCACCTGGGGTGACTGGAAACAATGACCAGAAGCTGCTAGAAAATAGGTTCAGGTTAGAGATTAGGAGGCATTATTTCACTGTCAGGGTAGCTAGGATCTGGAACCAACTTCCTAGGGAAGTAGTCCTTGCTCCTACCTTGGGTAAATTCAAAAAGAGGTTGGATGAACACGTGTCTGGGGTCATGTGATCCCAGTGTGTGCTCCAACCAGTGGCGGGGGGGTAGACTAGATGATCTATTCAGGTCCCTTCTGACCCCTAACTACTATGAAACTATGAGTGGACCATGAGAAGATCTCTCTTTTTATGGAACGGTCCACAGAATAAGAAGGTCGACTTACCTGGGAAATGGCAAGTAAAGAATAACTGCTCCTTATTGTTGTCTTAAACTTTTTGGATTAGGAAGCTCGCTTGGTGGGTAAAACGATCTTTTTGTGTGGATAATATAGAATGATATGGAGCTTATATGTAGTAGCTTCTCTGTATTCAGGCCTGCAAAGAAATATGTGGAGAACATGTTTAGAGGGCAAAATTTAATGAGGAAATGTCCATTCCAAATCTCAAGTATTTGTCATGCAGTAGTTGCCCTTTTATGGGTCTACATTCCATGCGCTGTAGGTTTCATATAACTCTGAGCAGCTACTGTAATTTTGAGTTAAATTTGTTTAAAGCAACTGTTAAAACAAGTATGTGAATAAATTCTCATAGCTTCTGCAGTGACTTCTGGGAGCTGAACTCTGTCTCTGACAGATGATTATACAACAGAAGCAACTCCAAAAGGACAAGCTGATTTACTGCAGTATTGTTACAAGGGCTTAGAGCAATTGAGTGGGTTTTTTATGTAATTAACTAAATTTGGCTTACACAGCAGACTAGGAATCTCAAACAGCAATACAAATGAACCCTCTGCAACATGTGCCATTAAAAATATAGTGTAAGCAAAAATATACCTTGGCCTATGGTGGGGAGATAATCCATGAGTTACTAGTATGTTACAGGTACTAGAGAACCCAGGTATTATAAAAACACTGAAGCCTTAGTGCATTAGTGCTGTATTCTAAAAAGATATAGGTTGTTCATACTGCTGCTACAATGTCACCATACAGTTACTTCTTTTTTTTAAATGCATGTGATAAGTCATACTCATAGATGTGGCATGTAAAATAGGAAATTGTATGTAAAAGACTGATACCACTTTCTATTATTTAATAAATTTATCATCTTAGCTGTTGTGTTTTGATAGAACAGGAAGTCAAATATAAATCTGGATCAGCCATATAAGTGAAAGGAGAATTTGGTCACCCTAGATTTGTGACCACCTGTTGTCAAAATTAGTACATGTAAAATTTAACCTATATTAAAATTGGTTTTATGTTTTTATAGTGATGCCTATAATATAGCCTTTACTATACTACAGAGTAATAGGGTTGGAGTGGTGTTATATTGATCCTTGAACACCTAAAAGTGCTAATATTGCACAGCACCCCACAGCACCATATAAAGGACCCTGTGACAGCCTAAGGCATTCTGTCTTCTTGATTGAGAATTGCTTATTTAGATGCACAGAGCTGAGTTACATTCAGAATACTTGGGCCAAGTTTTAGTCCCCAGGTCACAAATCTATAAATGGGTAGATATTCTTGGCCAGATAAATAGCTCTGGATTTAATCCCTTACAAGTAAAGAACATAACATTTGAGGGTATTATCAGTAATTAAGAACTTTGTAAGTCAGTTATGAAAGTAATGTGCTAATAGTTATTTTTCGAGATAATAGCTGTGGGCAGTTGAAAATATTTTCAATAAGGCTCAAGGCAATATTTTTTAGTGCTGTAGCAAATGAGAGCTGAGGGATAGCTCTTATCACCAGGGATCCTGGTTTTTTCCAATCAAAAAATCCGCGTTTTTCCATTATTAAAATGAAACACCACTATATATGTGTATGTATGTGTGTATGTGTATGTAGGGGTGTGTGTGTATATGTGTGTGTATATATATAATATATATATATATATATATATATTATATATAGTGGTGTTTCATTTTAATCATGGGAAAATGTGTATTTGAGGTTGGTTTTTAAATTGGAAAATTTTGAATGTTTTTTTCTCAGAGAAAACTAAGATCCCTGCTTATCACATAACCATCTAAGAGGTTATACTATTATGCTAAAATAAATATGTAGTTTTTCCTAAGATTCTTAAGATGTAAGTGGAATAGTGTTGCTACTAAAATGTCATGAGGCTGAGTAAAAACCTTTTTGTTGCCACTTTCCTATGCAATTGCAAAGGCCCACCCAATTTTGCAAGTTAAGTCTTCATAATTGTCCTTCTGATGTGTAGTTTTAATACTTTCAAATATTAGCTCTAATTTACATAATGGTCAAGGAATACTACTTAAATGTACCTATTCATTAAATGTAAAGAATGCTTAAAGCCTTGATTCCAGAGCAAAGTTAATTTGCCTTCCATTTCAAAACATTACATTCATGAGGTACTTTATTTTATTAACATTTCAAACACAAAAGCAAAGATGTTGTAAACATTGAATATTTAATAACGGTGAGTGCATCTACATGTGCAATTAGTGTGATTCAGTAAACTCTGGCACAGTTTGTGGGTGGCAGAAAGGCTAGCTGAGACAAAAGGGTGTTAGAGTGCATAATTAGCTGGAAGATAGCCCCTGAATTTTAGCACCTTTTTGCCCCAGCCAGCCCCTGTCATGGTCTACACATGTATAATTGCACATAAGTACTCTATCATAAAATAGTACTGTGCCCAACAGTACTATCCTATGGCAGATTTAATTAATCCATGCCCTAATATCAGTGTACATGTAGACTGTGACACTTTACTGTGGAGCTAATTAGTTTCCTCCACAGTAAAGTGCACATGTAGAGGCACCCAGTTGCACTGAAATGAATTGGTAAGCTATCCTGAATTTTACATAGGGAATAAGACTATCTGTCTTTACTGTATGTCATATATGAATTAGCATCGTTGCTTATTTATAATATTTTCCTAGTGCCTCAATCTTAAACCATTTTAACATTAATGAGCTAATTGAAATGCTCTAACCTTGCATAAAATGCAGTGACATTGCATTAAACTAAAGCATCCGTTTATTTTTGAAATGCCAAGGGTGATGGAGAATAAGACAATTTGGTTTTAGCCAGTAAATAGTTTATTGTTTCTCTCTTTTTATTATAACAAAGGAAATGGTACGTCTTGCTTTCACAGTGTTAACGTATCTGTTGTACAATTTTATCTTCTAGCTTGTCTTAACAGTGGGATTATTGGCAGTAGTAGTATACTTGTACACAGTAGTAGCATTCAATTTTTTCCGTAAATTCTACAACAAGAGTGAAGATGGAGATATGCCAGATATGAAATGTGATGATATGCTAACAGTAAGTTTCAATCTGTTTTTTCCTGTATTTCATGCTATTGTTGTTGTTATTATTTCATGCTCCCTTTCACACAATTGTATCTCAGTTTGCCTATAGCCAAAGGAATAGCTGATGACCACAAGAAGATGAGTGAAAAGTAAAGGGAAAAAGACTGTAACATAACCTTCTGGGACTTAAATTTGTTCTGCAGGTATTAAAGAATGAGAGGAAAGAAATAGGACAATATTCTTTGCTGTGGGTTTTTTGAACAAACAAAAATCAGAAAGCTGTTTCACTGCACAGGGCTTTCTCAAAAGTGGATATAAATGCTTCTAAATCCTAGAGGTTATGAGGTCATTAAGAGAGTTGTCTAGTTATGGTAAAATATAATCAAGTTTTTCAAAAGTACAAAACTAACATTAGGCTCTTATTTTTCTTTTTCTCTCTTTTTTATGTATCTGTTTGAGTTTTAAAAATGGTGAAAATCCAGGAGTTGCACTGGCACCAGTTGGTTAATTAACTCCTTTCTGTGGTATCATTGCCCTTGGAAGCCATTCAGCCTTCTTTAAAATTATTTTAAAATTGTTATTAACAGTCATTTTTTTCCCATGAACAAATCCTAACAGTGTTAAAGACTTTGTAATTGAATAGAAATAATTGTTATTTTAAAGATCCTTAACTTCTTCAATAACTAATAATTTAGAATGTTCATTTTTTAATGTCCTACTCAAGAGTTTTGGTGATGGGGCCATCAGAGAAAAAAAGAACAAAGCTTTGAAAAGCAATAGATATGATCTGAATGTATGGCAAGAGACAAAAAATAATCCTCAAATTGCAGGTTTGAGTAATGCATAATGATGGTTTGTGTTATGTATAAGATGAAAAGCATACTTCCTTGTATGACTTTTCAGAACAAAATAGCAAGCAGCTCCTAATGTGAAGAAGAGGGAAAAGAGACGCTTGGATACAAAGGAAAGATTGTGTTCCCATAGAAGTGAATGGAAAAACTTCTATTGAATTCTATGGAACCAACATTTGGCTCATGAACACAAGTGTTAGAAGTAATCACAGCACAGTAACAAGCACTGGGTACATGGAAGAAAGGGTGGGTTGGGGCTGGTAGTGTGTGTCCATCAACTTTTGAAATCCATCAGCATTCTGAGAGAGACAAAGAGGAGGGAGAGCACATGGGAGGAATTGCTGTACTTTCTTAGAGACAGTGTTGATAACCCCCATAAAGATTGCTTCTCCAATACCTACAGAGCTATTTATCTGTATGACTACATCTGGCTGCTTCTGTTGTGGTGGGTTCCTTGCATCTTTCTTCTCTTTCATTGTCTACGTAAGTCTCAGATTCCTGTGCTAAAATGAAATAATGGTAAGATTATTACTGTTACCCTATGCTGCAGCTTTGGTTTTGGGTTCATCTTTCCTTATATTAGCACCAACTATTGATATCGATTTACATGCAGTTATTTCATTAAGAAGTGTGATGGAGCACCTTTGGTGCTCTGTCACTTTAAGGACTGGAGCAGGTAGCCAGCAGGTGTTTGCTTAGGGCAGCCATTTTAGAGCCCAGCTCTCAGGGTTGGGGCAGCAGTTGCTGCCAGCCAGCTAAGGAAAAGAATCATTTGGCTGAGCTACTGCTCCAGAAACATCTTGGAAGTAAGGGCTAGGGCTATGGGGAAGGAGGCGGCCCAGTGGGCCTGGGCATAACTTAAAACTGCCCCCTGCTAGGCAGGGAGGTCTGGTGGGACTGCCTGTGGTGGGGCAGTGCCATTCAAATGCCTGGGCTGCTAACTTCCCCAGGGAAAGGTGGGAAAGGGCACCTCAATAACCCTAGCTCCCCTCATCTGGTGGGTTACTGGTGGGAGCAGTGGGGCCAGGTACACCTACCAAGAGGCACCTGATCCCAGATGGGTGTAAGACCCAGGAGTGGGGGCCAGGTATGCTCAGAGAGGAGCACCTGAGCCTGTAGGGGTGTAAGGCCCCAGGCCTTAATGAGAGGGTGGATTTAGGTTTAGGTACACTCAGAGGGAAGCATCTAAGGCTGAGGTGGGTGTTTGACCCTGGGGCCCCAGAGTAGGGGTAGAGTGTTGGCCCAAGGAAGGGGCAGTATGGCCCAGTGATGGGCTAGGGGTGGAGTCAGCCCAGAGTTTGGTTAATCAAACAGTCACTGATTAGATAAGGGCCAAGGAAGGGACCCAACAGGCTGAGTCAGGGCTACTTGAGGAGTGTAAGGACAAGGCTGAAGGCCTATGGTAGCTGCTTAAGAGAGCAGGGCAGGGTGTGTGTGTGGTCCATGAACAGGCAGTATGCTAGAGGCCTCTGTGAGGGTGGGGTGGAGTGAGTGAGGCCAGAACAGGGCAGTATGTGAGAGGCCCTATGGAGGTCTGAATTTGACCCAGCTGCAAGCCGGAGCAGTATTGACATTCTGAATAACATCTGAGGCATGGGGCACATTATGGGGTGGTCTGAGCATGTACTTATTACCCTTGTACATCAGGGCGCTTTAAGGGCAGCCTCCCACCTAATTAACATCTGGATTGATTAACAACAAGGCATGTCAGATGAATTAGGCAGGCAGCTTGCCCAGAGACAGGAGGCAGACCAATACTGAGATCAGGCCTGGGAGTTTGCCCCTATCACAGAAGAAATAACCTCACATTCTCCAAATGCTTAGTGCCTTAGCTCCAAATTGTTTTCTTGGGTGCACTGGCATAATCCTGTTACAAACTATTTGAAATAATTTATTTTCAATAATCTTATTGCTGAATTATACCCATGTAGCTGTGAGCTGATCTGAACTTAGAGGAAGAAATGCCTGAGTCTGGCTGCAATTGGAGACTGGATGTGGGTGAACTAATTGAATACAGATGAGACAGAGGTGATGTTGGTGGGCAGACCACTTGACTTGGCGGGGGTTTCAGACACCTATCATTGATGGGATTCAGCCTTCCCTTGTCACTTTGGTTTGCAACCTTGGGGTGCTCCTGGATCCTCCTGGATCTTCAGTTGGCTGCAGTGGCTAGGAGTGCCTTTCACATCTCCAGTTGGTGAGAAGTCCATATCTCTTTCTTTCAGATTCAAATCTGTTCACTATCATCCATTCCTTCCTTCTGACAGGAGGTGGTTTGCCAAAAGCACGTAACTCTAATCCTTTAGCATCTGCACTGGCTTCTAATAGGTTTCTGGGAACAATTTAAGTGCTGGTTTTGACTTATAAGGCCCTAAACAGTCTAGGCCCTAAGGGACCCCTTTCTTCCTGATTTCCTGTCATGATCCCTAAAGTCAGCTGAGGACAACCTCCTGCAAGACTTTTGCCAAGCAGACTTTTATCAAGCAGACTTGGCATATTGAACAGATGTATATACGGTTTTACACTTGTTTCTACAGGCAAGAGCACACAAAAGAGCAATATGCCAAGTCTGCTTGTCAAAAACCCATGGGGGGAGCATCCACACATGCAAGCACATATGCTTGCAGCAACTTAAATAGAAGTGGTGCAAATTTGAGCTGGGACTTCTTGCCTCCATGCACGTGCCCAAACATACACTTCAGTGTGGGGCAAATTATGCCACATGGGGCAAAATAACCCTGCCTGGCTCCTCCCGGGTCTGTAGCCAGGGGGAGGTAGTGCCTGGAGCCAGCACCTGTGCTGGCCCCAGCAGTATAAAAACCTGCCCTGGACAGCAGCTCAGGGCTGCTTGCCAAATGACCCTCGAGTATGCCAGGCTGCAGCTCCTCCACCTCCAGAACCTCCACTTGAGGTTCTGGTTGAATTTCACACCCCACCTTTTTGTCTGTGGTCACCCACAAGTCCCAGGACCACCTGGTCAACCTCCTCTTGGCCCTGGCCAAGTGGGACCTGTACTTGACCAGGAAGGAGGCGCTGGCTGGGAAGGTGGCCGGAGACTGCAGAGCTGCTTTCCTCTCCCTTGTCTATACACGTTTCCAAGCAGAGCACCAGTGGGCGGCATCCACCAGCTCTTTGGGTGCCTTTGTGGACTGGTGGGTGTGGCCTGGGGGACTCTGCCCAGTGTCCCCCTCCAGCAAACTTCTTTTCACATTTTGAACCTATAAACCCCATGTCACTCCTACCCTTTTCTTCCTTAGTTGTCCCACAAAAAAAATAAATAAATAAAATTAGATGCATCTGTCAAACTTTGACCCCACACAGTAGTGGGGTCTATTAGGTAACTAGGTGGGCCCATGATCTCTGGAAGATACAAATAGACAGGAGCTTCTGAGGCCTGGGCAATTAGTATCTGGGGACTGCTGAAGCATTCTCCCAAAGTCACTTTTTAAAATATCCCCAAATCCATGCTCTTCCACAATTAGAATGAGAGAGAGAGAGATTGATCAGTTGGGCAATGTTTTATTGCTATATTTATAATGTTAAAGCAATTTGGAAGCCTACCAGTGTCTCTAGCATCATAATAAAATAAATCCTAAATAGCTATATGTTTTAATGTTTGCTTTTGGTTTCATTATCACATGGTGGGTGTGTAATGGGGGCATAGGCTTTGATGGAGGGAGATGGCAACAAGGGTTGGGGGGATGTTGGGTGGGTGTGGAGGGATGTGGGGGAATGCAGGTCAGTGTGCAAGTAGGTGTGGCGGGGGTACTGTGAGTGTAGGGGGATGCTTAGGAGAAGTGGGTCTCCTGCCCCCCACAGGGCACAGCCACCCCACACAGTACATGGACTGCCCTGCCTGCAGGGTCCCAGTCCCCCCAGGGGCTACACCCCCTCCCCCCAACCCTGCAGGGCTCAGAGCCTCAGGAGGCTTGAGATGAACAGGAGAACAAGCAGGAGGCTGGAGAGGAGCAGGGGAATGAGCAGGAGGCTGGTGATGAAACCCTGGAGATGAGCTGGAGACATTCCCCTGCTCATCTCCAGCCTCCTGCTTGTTCTCCTGCTCCTCTCCAGACTCCTGCTCATTCCCTTGCTCATCTCCAGCCTCAGGAGATGGATCAGAATCCATCCTGTCTTCCTCAGTAAGGACCAGAACTGCCACCTC